CAGCCGCCCCGAGCGCCCTGGCGCGGCCGGTGGCCCCGGGGACTCGCGGGGACGGCGCGGCCGGCGCCCGCTACTCACGTAGTGCTGGCTGGGCACGAAGCGCTTCTCGAAGCCCAGGAGGGCGATGTGGCGGATGAAGGGGTCCCCCATGGCGGGGCTGCGCGCGGCCTCTGCTCTCGGGGCGCCCCAGGGCTGGGCCTTAAATGGGCTGGAAAGAGGAAGTCGCGTCTGTCGCCGCGGGGCTGGGGGCAGGAGGGGCAGGGAGGGCGCAGAAAGGGCGCTGCTGCTCCTTTCAGTTTCTGGGACGCCTCCGGCTCCCCAGCGTGGACGCGGGCGGCCACACGCACGCATGTGTGCGCGGACACGCTGCCCTTGTCCTCCCCGCGGCCTGTAAGGCCCCGCAGGCTGGCGAGGGGCGGTGGCCGGCTCCCTCCGGGCCGGCCGCACCGGCCCCTCTGCTGTCCTGGAATACGCCAAGCTGCTCTCACCTCAGGGCCTGGCGCTGGCAGTCCCACCCGGACCATCTCCCACGTATCTGTAGCTCCTCTCTCATTTTCTCCAGATTTCTGCTCAATGGCACCTCCTCTGAGAGGCCTTTCTTCATAACTTCACACAAAATAGCAAAACTTCATGCTTCTCCCACCCCACTTCACTGTTTTTATTCAGAGCACTTATCACAACTGACATATTACCGATTTTATTTTTTTACAGTGTCTCTCCTCACCAGAATGTGAGCAAGGGCTTAGCTTGTTTTGACAAGGGCTCTGGCCCCAGCCCCTATAACTGGAACCCGGCTGGCAGTGGGCCCTCCATAAATATGTGGAGAGTGCTGGGTCACCCCGAGTGGACGAATGAGTGAATGCATGCCTCCATTCGAGTGTCGGGCCCACGTCCCTGGGTGTGTGCACGCAGCTGCATGCCAGTGGCAGCTGGGACAAACTTAGGGTGAGACCTGAGTTCCAATCCTGATCCAAGAACCGACCCTCAGAGCTGACTCAGTTTCCTCCTCAGTGAAATGGGACCACCAGCTCCACTGAGAAGGGGATTTGAGACAAAGAGGTGAAGAGGGGAGCAGCGGGCAAGGGGAGAGGCTGGCGCCTTTCTCACTAAAGCCTGCGGTGCTAGGGCCAGGCAGATGGGGCCCTGGGAGGCTCAGAGGTCATAGAGCTGGGCCAGGGTCACACAGCAAGTGGCTTCAGACAGGCAGCCCGGCTGCAGGCTCAGGTGGGCAAGGGCAGCGTGTGGCCAGATCCACAGATTCCAAGATTGTGAGAGATGAAAAAGGCCGTCCCATGGAGCACTGAGAGCCGTGGGTCCCCCTGGACCATTGGGGTGATGGCTGGCATCTGGCAGAGGGGTTTTACCTAAGAAGCACAGGGTCCATTCCCTCTGCTCTGAAAGATCTGCTTGGCACGTCCCCTCCACTCTCTGTTGCTCCCCACCCTCAGCCGGAGGCCACCTGCCCTGTCATTTCCACTGACATATTTGAGATCTTCCACACAGGATACACTACTCAGCAATAGAAAGGAACTGCCACACACAACATGGGTGAACCTCCCAGACACGATGTGGAGAGCGAGAAGGCAGACACGAAGCACACCTTCTGCGGGACGCCATTTATACTAAGCCCCAAAACTGCCCACACTCGTCGATGGTACTGGAAGCCAGGGTGACCTCTGAGGTGGGGGTGGGGGAGGTGGGGAGCCAGTAGTGACTGGAGGGGAGTAGCAGGTGGCAGGTGATTTTCTTTGCTAGATGCTGGTTCCACAAGTGGGCTCACTTTCTAAAAATTAACCCAGCCCCAGGCACGTAGATTTGTGCACGGCCCATTTCTGTGGGTGTGTTTTGCTGCAATAAAAAGTTGGAAGCCGAGAATAGATTGAGCGGATAATATGATGGATAGCCACCTTCACTTAACTCTAGGACGGAAGGGTGGCCCAGGCAGCACAGGGCACTTGGCTCACTGCTGAGCGCTCTCCTTGAATTATTCACTCAACGCCCCCTCCCTGATGGACTCGGCTTGTCTCTGGTCTTCCCTGTCCCATACGCTGCTGCCTTGAGGTCCCCGCAGGGACGCCAGACTGGCAGCGCTCCCCTGGGCATGGTGAGGGGCAGGGCTTGCCGCAAGCAGGACCTCCTCCTGGACACCAGGGCCACGGCCCGCAGCGCTTCCTTCCCTTCCGCCCAGCGGTCTTTCCGCTCTTGCGTCACTGCCTGGCCAGGCTGCCCTCTCCTGCGGACTTAGCCACGACCCAGCGGCCCAAGCCATCAGCTGCTCCCTTCCCACTTCCTTCTGGGTCTCCCCAGACCTCGCCTGGCTCCTCACGTGGCACCTGGCAGAGAGGCAGCGGCCAGAGCATGAAGTGGCCAGGACGCTGTGGCCGGCTCACAGCCTGTGTCAGGGTGGGGCGGGACTGACCGACGTTAATGCATGGGTGAAGCAGGCTGGTGACCAAATGATTAAAACAAAGGCATGAGTGAAAATGAAGCAAGGAGGTAATGAATAATGATAAAAAAATTTTGGGGGGTGGGGAGTCACAAACTTAAAGACGTGTAAAAAGTTTTTGTTGTGAAATATATAGAAAACTGTAGGGGCCTGCCCGGTGGCGCAAGCGGTTAAGTGCGCGCGCTCCGCTGGCCCGGAGTTCGCTGGTTCCGATCCCGGGCGTGCACCAACGCACCGCTTGTCAGGCCACGCTGGGGCAGCGTCCCATATAAAGTGGAGGAAGATGGGCACGGATGTTAGCCCAGAGCCAGTCTTCCTCAGCTAAAAGAGGAGGATTGGCAGACGTTAGCACAGGGCTAATCTTCCTCAAAAAAAAAAAAAAAGAAAAATGTAGTTTAATTATTATAAAACTGTAATTATTATAAAGTAGATATCTAATTAACCATCACCTGGGCATTAGAACAATACCAGTGCCCCCAGAATCCCCCACTTCCCTTGAGTGCTAACAGGAAGGACTCACCCTGGGTCAGGATGTCTGTGACTACAACTTATTCTCACAACGAGGCTCTCAGGTAGGCACTATTATTCCCCACTCTTTGTAGATGGGGAAACTGAGGCACAGAGAGATTAAATAGGTTGCCACAGCTGGTAAGCAGAGAGCTGGGATTTGAACCCACGCAGTCTGGACCTCTGGCCCACGCTCTTAACCACTGAGCTCCCCTGCCTCGCCCTTATGTGAATGAATGAGTGATGATTGGTACTTCACCAGGGAGGAGGCAGCCTGCATGAACACCCCCAAAAAAGGCATCTTCTCAAATCAGGCCAGACGGCAGGAGAGGCAGGGCTTCCCAGTCTGGCCCGAGAATCTTGGCCTCTACCTCAGATGCCACCTTCTCCACTCTCAGGCCTTCCCCAGACGGGCTGGGCTGGCCAGTTCCTCAGAGAGGAACTCCCCAAGCCTGAGCCACGGAGGCAGGCTGTGTGGAGAGGGATCTGGCATCAGAGCCTGAGGCCGGACAAGCCTTCCAGGATCTTCTGTCAGGAGAGGGAATCCAGGGCTTCCCCGGATTGGAACAAATGACACAGTTCTTCCCCAAGTCTCACTTAAAGCCCTCCTGCTGCCCTTTCTTGAGCGAGAACAGCTTGGACCCCGATGCCAGGCCCTATGATGAAGGCCTCCTGGGCCAGCCCACAGGACCAGTTCTTGCCTGGCGCCTAGAGGGGGCGCAGGATGGGGCCCCTGAGCCACTGCTAGATGGGAATCAGACAGGCCACTTGGCGGTGACACTGGCTGTGTGGGGCCGAGGCTCTAACGGCAAGCAGGTGTCTCTGTGCAGAAATGCAAGCCACTCACAATCCCTCTGCTTCCCAAGGGACCCCGAGTCTTCCTTCCTCAGCAAATCAGACCAGAAATGGGCTCTGGCTGGGTTGGGGATGGACCTTGAGGCCTCCCCAGAAGGGAACCAGGTGTCTGCACTGGGTAGATGGCCCAGGACACACCTGAGTCACACCCTGGGAATCCCACCTCCTGGGAACTTCTCCTCCCTTGGGCCTGATGACAATGCTGTCCAGCCCTTGGACTAGGGACTCCAGAGTGCGGCCCCCAGCCCAGACATTCAGGGGACTGCAGGAGGCCATGTACACAGACTGCAGGGTGTGGGCACAGTGGCCTGGAAGCCGACTCACACAGGCCTGCTTTGAACTCGGACTCCGTTGCTGGTTGCCTGCCCTTGGTAAGTGCGTTCCAGGTCCCTGAGCCTCAGGCGTCTCACCTGCAAAAAGGCACCAACAACTGTGCCCGTTTCAGGGGCTCCTGTGAGGATTAAGTGAGGGCCAGGCGCTTAGCTTGGCAAACGCTGGCTATCACTAGGTGTCACTGCGCACAGGGCTGTACCTGAGGTGCACTGGGGCACACAGGTGAGGGAAGCCAAGAGGCAGGGCAGCTTCTCGCTGTTTATGCAGGGCCTTGAGTAAGATGTCACAGGAACGAGAGCAGGCACTCCAGGCTGGGACAACCTGTGCAAGGCTCGAACAGAGGGACAGGCTCATGTCCACTGTTGGGGCTGTTGCCTGAGAGCTGAGTGGGACAGTGAAGTGCACCCCGTGGTCTAGAGCTGGGTGAGCTGTAGTCGACGGCAGGGGCTCTGGGGGTGGGACAGAGGCTTTCCCAGACAGGTCCTGCTGAGGACAGCAAGCGAGGCCATGGACTCCAGCCTGAGTCCTGGGTGCAGGGCTGGGGCTGTCTCCACCGCCCTGCAGCGTCTGGCAGAGCTGCTGACACCGAGGAGGCCCCAGGCAAACAACCGTCTGAGGACCGGGGACTCTGCAAGCCAGCCCCACTACAAAGCTGGGAGCCCCGGCTCCTCCTGTGCGGGCTGCTAGGGAAGCCCGAGGCCCGGCCGATCGAGGACCGGGGACTCTGCAAGCCAGCCCCACTACAAAGCTGGGAGCCCCGGCTCCTCCTGTGCGGGCTGCTAGGGAAGCCCGAGGCCCGGCCGATCCTGGCCCGGGAGTGCCACTTCCTCGCTGACTGGCCCAGATGTGTCACGCAGTGAAAGTTATTTAAAGCTCGTCAACCAACCACCAAGGCTAAATCCAGCAGCAAGCTGCCGCTGCAAGGGGTTTGTGGTACTTTATTTGAACTTGAAGCAAATTCTAGTAACAAGAAAATCATGCCTCCAGATCAGTTACCAGGGCTGGGCTGCCATTTCCACGTCTCTCCAGCCGAGACAGACTACAAGGAAGTC